GGAGCTAGAGAGGGTTTTACGAGTAGGTACTAGGTTAGTCGAGGGATTACGGGGACGGACGTACCCCGAGCGTCTACTTAGTTTGGGAATGCATTCAATGCACTACCGAAGGCTTAGAGGAGACCTAATCCTAACCTACCGTATCTTAACTGGGAAGGTTGGTCCAGATTTATCTGGCCTATTCAGTCCCGCTAGATTGTCTGTTCTACGCGGTCATTCTTTGAAGCTGGACAAACCGCGGTCCGATCGGATTAGGGCGGAAATCCGGCTGTCACGCAGAGTCATCGAGCGCTGTAACATGTTTCCGGAAAGTGTTATCAGGGGATCTACGTTAATAGGTTTGAGCGTCAACTTGACGCTCTTGGGTGGCAACACGAAACCTTTCCATTTTCCTGAGTAACTCGCATCTTCGTACTTCGATTTTCTTTTCTTCACGCATTGATATTATTTCCTTATTTAAGTGCACTCCCTTATTCTGTGCCTTCGATTTCTCTTCCTATCCTTTGCTTACTTCACGTGACTGCCACAGCAGGGACTGCTAGGGCAGGAAACGTGGGCATTAACTGGTTGGTCAGGGTGCGATACGGGTGTTCCGTTTTAGATCCATCAATAACTGAGCACATCATCAATTCCTGGTTCAACGATCCACTCAAGATGGAACACTAACTAGATTCTCCTATCGTTCCAGTCCCATCTGAACTTGAACTCAGATCTACGGTTAAGATGTTTGAGCGTCAACTTGACGCTCTTGGGTGGCAACACGGAACCTTTCCTTTTCCTGACTAACTTGCATCTTCATACTTCGATTTTCTTTTCTCTACTCTCCTTCGTACATTGCTACTATTCTCTTGTTTCAAATGAACTTCCTTATTCTGTACTCTCGGTTTCTCTCCTATTCTTTGCTTACTTTACGTGACTACCGCAGCAGGAATTGCTATTGCAGGAAACGTGGGCAATAATTGGCTAACCAGGGTGTGATATGGGTGTTCCATTTTAGATTCATCAAGAACTCGAAGCATCTCATTAGTTTTTGGCTCAACGATTCGCTCAAGAAGGAACACTCACTGTATTTTAACATGCAATTTCCATTAAAGTTCCAATTCCGTTATAAGTTTAAATTCAGGTGGACTGGAACGATAAGATTATCCCTTGAGTGTTCCTTCATCATCGGGTCGTTGAACCAGGAGTTGGCGAAGAACTGCAATCAGATGGACCTAAAACAAAGACCGCATCCATCGTACCGAGACTGGATTGTAACGTGGTGCGATGGTCTGTGTACCCAGTGATCCACTGCACGACACTGGGTGGCACTTTCAAGTGCTTTCAGATCCACTTATACCAGACAGGTCAATGGTTACTGGTCAGACTAACTCAGTCCCACAATCGTTCCGTTGCCTTGCCAGCAGGCTATTTAGCCAAAGGCTCGGGGTGGAGTCCCCTAAGACAACTCCCTACTTCGGCTTGGGCAACCGAGTAGTATCATACCCACTGACAAAACCATGGACTGTTCAACTGCAATATCGCTCTCAGCTGCTTTTGCTCCTGCTAGTCACACACCTTCACACGCCACCTGTTCAATCAGTATTATCCGTTACCATCCGATTCTTGTTTCCATGATTCTACTCCGGATGGTTTCGCCGACACCCAGAGAGCTCGCCCAGTCGCACTCCTTCGGTCTCGGTCTTCGTTCCGTCTGGCATGCTTCAATATACGTACACTCATGCAGATCGGATGACAAGCTGGTCTTGCGCGCACCCTGGAATCCCTCGCAATCGATGTTTGCTGTCTTCCCGAAACGCGTTTACAAGATCGCAGTACTGTGATCGAATTGAGAACTCCCACCGACCACGGAGCCAGATTCCACCTACGTCTATCTGGTGACGCAGAAGCAGCTGCGGCAGGCGGCTTGCGTTGGTGTAGCGCTAAGCAGCAAGGCCGAGGCCGCACTGCTAGACTGGTTCACGATTCATAGCCGAATGTATGCAGTTCGGCTTCGGTAATCACGCAATATAAACCGATGTCGTGAGGAGAGACGCAACCAGTTTGTGATCTCAGCTTACGCTCCGACTGCAGTTCCGATTCAGTCAAGAATTATTTCTACCGTGGACTTCATCAGTTCTTGGGCAGAGCCTGCAAAGCCGACATTGTTGTCCTTTCTGGGGATCTCAGCGTACGGGTCGGTCGTCTATTATCATGCTCGGTGCTCACCATGCGCTCGATGAGAGCCGCTCAGATAATGGAAAGAGACTTCTCACACTGTGCGAAGATAATCATCTGTTTCTCTCGAGCACCACTTTTCAGCATTTGAAGAGACGTTCCGCTACTTGGCGACCCCTTTCCGCGTCTCATTCATGGTTTCAATCAGTTTTAGATGGAGAAGCAGTGTAAAGGTTGCAGACCCAGAAGGTCCATTTTTCTTGACTCCGACCATGCACTTGCCTATGCGAACATCTGCATGAGTTTCGGAGGGACCCCGAAAATGTTTCGGTTCAGCAGAGTTATCAAACTTCATTGGCTGGTGCACTTGGCTGCGACCAGCCAGCAGAGTATTGATGAACACTGGACGTGCATGCAGAGGACCATGATCCCTTCCGTACAGCAAGTCTGTGGTCTTACTCAGCACCCTATGAAGGCCAGGAACTCCACGCGCTCTTTGGACTTATTTGACCGCCGCAGGAATATCCCAGCGGAGTCTAATCATGATGAAGTGTGCCGTTCTGTCAGTCGGCAGCTCAAACAAAGCCTACGCAGTGAACGTGAAGCCTGGTGGTCCCAGCGTGCTACGCAAATGTAGGCCGCTGCACTCTCTCGCAAAACACGCAAGTTCTTCCAACTCATGCGATCCACTGGCCACAGAAAGCCTGGAGTCATTGAGACTATTCGCGAAGCGAATGTTTTGCCAATTGCAAACTAACAGCGACGCTTGGATCGATGAGCCGAACATTTTCATTCCCGGTTCAATTGGCCCTCACCGTCCACTTTTATCCCCTGTGAAACTAACTGCCCGCCCTGGGTCGTCACCCTTGATCCACCCAACAAAGCGGAAGTTTGTCTTGCGATTCGACACTGGAGAAGATTCAAGGCTGCCGGCTCAGACGGACCTCCTCCGGAGCTCTTCAAATATGAGGGATCAGTTATCATTAGCCAGCTAACCTCATTGTTCTCCAAAATCTGGCATGAAAAAAGGTGCCTACTTCCTGCGGAGAATCAGTTATTGTCCCAAATTTTAAGACGGGTGCTCGCACTTGGTGTACCAATCATCGGAGGACTAATCTTATTTCGGTTGCCTCCAAGCTACTGGCGTCAATTCTACTCCGCAGACTATCCCCCATTCGCGAATCGCAGTACCTGGAAGAACAAGCTGGCTTCCGATCTGCCCGGGAGTGTGTGAATCAGATATTCATACTCCGTCAAATCTTGGAACACCGCCACCTCTATCAGAGGCCTACGATTGTTGCATTAGTTAACGTCCGTGCCGCATTCGACTCAGTTGATCGACTTGCACTATTGTGTTGTTTGCTAAGGAACGGTGTCCCGGAAAAAGTACACTGCCATCCTACGCGCACTGTATTTTCATTATCTCCGGCAGAGTGAGGGTGTATGGCAGGCATTCGTCGTCCTTCGCTGTTCCAGCAAAGTGTTCGGCGACAATGTTCCACCTCGGTGGGATATTGTATTCCAGCAGGTGTGCTGACTTCATGGGGAGTATTGGGCCCCTGTTTGGTAATCTACCAAACAAGGACGCATGAACTGAACATTCAGTTAACGCCTCCCAATGGTCGCGATTCCCTAAATTCGCCGCGCTGCCTTGCGGGTAGGTTATTTAACTAAAGGCTCGGGGTGGAGTCCTCTAAGTCAACTCATTACTTCGGCTTGGGCAACCGGGTAGTATCACGCCCTCTCGCAAAACCATGGACTGTATTACAACTTGTTCATCAGCTGCTGTTTCTGCTACTCACTTTCACGCGACTTCATCACACGCCAATTGTTTGTTTGTTAACTATCCTCACTTTCCGTTACCCGATTCATGTGCTCAACAATCTGGCTGCGATTCCGGTAGCGCCGCAGACCAAGAGGTTCAGCCTATGGCTCTCCTTCGTCCCCGATCCTCGTTCCGTCTGGCGTGCTTCAACGTTCGGATACTCATGCAGATTGGACAGCAAGCCGGTCTAGCGCGCACCCTAGATTCCCTAGACACTGATGTCTGCTGCCTTTCAGAAACCCGTTTGCAAGATCCCAGCACTGTGCTTACACTGACATCCCCCACTGACCACGAAGCCATATATCACCTGCGTCTTTCTGGAGATCCAGAAACAGCCTTAGCGGGTCTGGCTAGTGTAGGTATAGCACTAAGTGACAAGGCCGAGGCGGCACTACTGGACTGGTTCCCTATTAACAGCCGACTATGTGCAGTTCAGCTTCGGGGTTCGTGTAGAATCAACAGGCACCGCGAAGAGAGACACAACTTGTTTGTGATCTCCGTGTACACTCCAACTGACTGCAGTGGCGACTCGGTCAAGGACGAATTCTACCGGGATCTACAACAGCTCTTGACTAATGCTAAAAAGTCGGATGTCGTTATCCTTGATGGGGATTTTAATGCACGGGTTGGCCGCCTGTTACCATACGAATGCCACCTTGGTGGTCATCACTCGCTCGATGAGAACCGCTCTGATAACGGAGAGACTTCTCATATTGTGCGAAGACAACCGTTTGTTTCTTTCGAGCACTAACTTCAGGCGTACGAAGAAGCGTTCCGCAACGTGGCGTCCCCCTTCTTCAACACAACCGTGGTCTCAAATTGATCACATTGCAATTAGCTTCAGATGGCGCGGCAGCGTACTGGACTGCAGGTCCTTTTGGTCCACCTTCCTCGACTCAGACCATGCTCTGATCTGCGCGAAAATCTGTATATGTTTTGGAGGATCCCGAAACACGAAGCACCGCAAAAGTTCAGCAGCCACGTCGCTTGACAGTGAGTCACAGCACATGATCGACTTTCAGTTAGGCATCACCTGTGGAGCTTCCTTTGTATCAGTAGAATCGATTTCCATTTCGACCGGGTCCCGCTGATCGACAGGCGACGGGGTGGTGGGAAGGGACATCAACTTGGGCACAACGACAGCAACTAAGGTGTACAGCAAGTGGATGGACGGGATAAGGTGGTCATCATCAACGGAAGGGCAGTCGAAATGGTGCCGAGAAAGACACATGCGCGGAACCATCCGAATTGCGATGGAGCAGTCAAATAACCGTGGCACAATGTCGCAAATGATGCGTTCGTTTGTGGTGAACTCGTCGGCTGTGGGCACAAGTAGCTGGTACAACGCAGCTGCCAACTGGTAACGAAGAGTGGAGTCGCGTTCATCCGAACTGGTCGACTGACACTCGGATGTCCACGTAACCGGAGACAAGGACAAGTTTAGAAAGGTATTAGTCTTGGGTGTTTTGCTGAACTCCACTGGATCAAAAACACTGGGAGCATTTGAGCCAGTTCCATCAACTAAGTAACCGGCCTTAATCGATAACTGTCTGTCGATAAACAGTGCAATGATTCGGAATTACTGACGATGTGCAAGAAACTGATAGAGCCAAAAACGATTTGCAGCAATAAGGAATTCAGGGAAAATGAACGGGAGAGTTTTGGGTGTTTCCTGGGTGGCGTTAATCATATTCTCGAGGACACGCAGTGGAACTGCAAACTTCGTTGAAAATGACTGAGGAAGCAAGTCTGCGATATACCGCAAAATAACCCATAGAGTGCAACCGATTGTGTATCGAAAATCAGCACCGATTCGATCAGAAGGAGAATCGGTTGACAACCAGGACAGTGAAGCATCGCGACCGACGTTTGATAGTAGAAGACGGCAAGCGACAAACAGCTGATCTCTACTATGTGGCTTTGTTCGACAAAGCCAATTCGAATAGCGCAGCAATCGATGTAACGTGCGGCTGAACTGGAAGGTGTCAACAGTCGTGTGTTGATCCGATGCCACTTGGGAGACCAAAAGGTTCAGCTCACAGGACACTTCGTTAAACGCATCACTGAAAACGCGATACGTTTTTAGCCGACTCAAAAATCCTCTGGCCAGTGCTTGCAACTTGATTGCAGCGGTCTCTTTCCGCCGTGAAAGCTCATGTTTCCTCCTCTCTTCCTTGGCTTTGTGAAGAATCGTATGAGCATTTGGTTTTTCGGTCCGATCGAGTACTTGAGATCTCTTCGCCCGATAATTTCCCTCGAAAGAGAACATACAACAGACGAGAGGACGCTGGCGGAGCTACGCCGAACAAGGTCAGCGCAGTTTTCAAGGACGAAATGCATACTAGCTATCGAGCCACTGTCCATTCTGCCCTGGGGCAGACCCCTCATCTCATGATGACGAGTTGAGAGCTACGATTACCATCGGACGTTTTATTGCCTATGACCTACCACGAACCAATTATCGCATCTGAACACGTACTCAAGATGCAGGCCACCTTGGACCGAGCGCACCCGTTGGTCCAAGCACACCAAAAACCCCAACGTCACCAGAAAGCATATTATGATCGCAAATCCTTCAGTAGTCCCTCCAAGTCGAGCGACGAAGTGGATCATAATAATGCAGACTCCATCAGGCGTACCCACAAAGTTCGCTGGAACTGGGAGGATCTATATGTGGTAGAGAACGTGCCATCCGACTTGACATATATAAATATGTTACCAGGGGTACGAAATTCGTCGATGGTACTACACTTTAATAGGCTAGAACGTGCCATCCGACTTGACATATATATTTATGTTACCAGAGGTACGAAATTCGTCGATGGTACTACACTAAAATAGGCTAAAACCGTACAAGGGGAACACGGGTGCTGAGAACGGCCTATTAAAAGGGGGCGATGTAGCGCTGCACGCCGCGTTGTTTTGACCTCCTCCGGAACCTCGGCGCCCTTCCTGTCGTCGTGACCTTGACTGCGGACGCGTGCTCCTGTGCTTGGTTGCTCTCAGCCACTCGGCCACTTTCCGATGTCTGCTTGCCAGCAGGCTCTCGATACGTTGTTTGTCGATATTCTTACTAGGTGTTTGGCTTCCAGTCACTTACGCTCCCTTTGGTTTCCATTGTAGGTATTCCTGCCTATTGCCTGGTGATGGATACGATAGAACCTATCACCCCGAACCGGGCGGGTATCACACCATTTCACAGCATAGTCGAGAGGCACGCAGATGTTTACAGGCATTTCATGCTTTTCGGTAGCGCCGAAAAGCGCTCTCTGGGAAACCGATCGATACGTCCGCCAGCACTTGGTCTGCCTGTTCACCATTCGACGTGCAGCTTTATAAAACCATGGCGGCTTCGCCTTTTTAACCTTCCTCACAGAAATGGGGATATACTGAAGAGACCCCAAACAGTAGCACTTGCAGTAATCTCACGCGGTCTGCAAGTCATCGTCGGCAGAACTGAATGACCTCTGATCACGAAGAACTCTGATCGCCATATATTCGGACTCGGGATGTTGTCATCAGTATGATCCCGGAGGAGAGCACACTTGAATGACAAACAGACGTGATCGCTAGCTCTCAGAAGCGATTCATAAGTAAGTTCGCTTATAAAATCTGCAGACTTATCGAAGATTAGATTTAGGAGGGACGAGACCTGAACTTCCGTGAACCTGGTGGGCTGGTCTACGAACTGGTGTAAGGGTACCAGCAACGTTAGGTCCAGAATAGTGCTGGCCAGCCCCTCGCGGCTGACACATGCAAAGATCTGCCAGTCTATCTCAGAGATTAAAATCACTCATAATTAGGCATCCGGTAGTCGACTGACCGCGAATGGTCACTGGGCCCATTAGAAGTGTTATCAGAGCCCTATATACTAACACAATGTTTAGCTGCTTAGAGCTGCGCACTTCAACCGAAAGGGATTCTACAGCTCCATCTGATGCATAAAACGTGCACATTATGGAAATAGTTAAGGCAGATCAGAGATACAGTATACGCCCCTACCACGACGGTCTAATGCGCGGGCAGCTGTCAGTAATGCGTAGCCCTGTAAGCCTACCTCACTGTTCGTAACGTCGGATGACAACCATATTTCGATGAATCCAAAGACATCAGGACGAGAATGGCCCACAAGAGCGCCGACCTCGCACTTCTTATTTCGCAAGCTACCTTAAGGTTATTCATATAATGAGCCCTCGACCTTGCGCCACCGGAACGGGTTTTGACAGGGCAGAAAGGACTGTCGGCTCACCACCCAAAAGCCTTCGAACTGAAGACCCTTTCCCCCGGTGTCACGGCGCGCTGTAAGATTTTTGGTAGGCTCCTTGAGCTTCAGTTTAGCAGCCAAAGTAAGGTCAGGCTGCACACTGAACCCAGAACTTTTGAGTTTGAAGGCAAAGCGTAAGAGTGCCTGGCGCTCGTCTGGAGTGGGAAAACCACTCGCAAAGACGAGGTCGGAGGTTCAGCTGGCCAAACTGTACGTTGTCAAGTCTGGTGAGTTTTCTTACAGCTACCCCGGGGAACCTGGACGACAGTAACGTAGAAACACAATGTTTAAGCCATTGAAGATCTTCCATGGTATGCCTCGTCGGAGGAGTAGCAGTTAGTTCAGAGATGGGGCTATCATCGCCGCGACGGGGAGTATTTACCGCACGTATCACGGAACCAGATGGGCGCATGTCCTAGCAGGTTTTGAAGGTTCTGTAGACACATAACTCAGCCCGAAGCGGCAAGATATTGGAACCTGCAGTCAAAGGAACTGACTGCAAACCACCTGTCGGACTGATCTTAGGTGAAGACAGTGCGACTTTTTTCACCCTTCGCTTTCTTCTGGTAGATGCACCGGTATGCACTTCCACTTCACTAAGGCGGGGTCAAAAACGCAATCTGAAGATTTTTGCAAACAGAAGAACCCCTGAAGTGGCTGTTGTAAGAGTCGAAACTGGCGAGTTTGCTGCATTACAAGTATCTGAAGTAGTCTCTTGGCTGAGAGTCCTCAAGATCATCTCGCAGGACGGTAGCCTAAAGGTAACGAGCCTGTCTCGTAATCTGACGGCGCGGGTTCGAGCCTGCGTAGGGGCAAGGCAACCCTCGCATTATGCTTAGCCCACATGCGACCGACCAATGGTGGTTGCGCGGCAACGAAGCGTCGATACTGCGTACCGGTGTACTGCTGATGCCGTTCTTTCTCTTTTCTCAAAGTTGACCGTAAGGTTTTTGACTTTCCGATCTAGAGAGGTCACCGAGGGTAATAGAGATTCTATGTTATCTAACCTGGAAACTAGTGTCGTGAACTCTCTTACTGTCCATGGACACCCATGGGTCTTCCTCCCAGAGCAGTCAGATCAGCCACACAGCAAAATTTCACTTAATGTCACAAGCGTGTACTGCTCTGGAACTAAGCCAGTACAAGGCTCATGGAACCATCTGTAGTAAATATCGCGCTGCAATCCTCTCAACGAGTCGGTAACAAACTTTAGGCGCACCATCTCACTGCATGGCACTGCCGCTTTAGGTGAATCAACGGGGCGGTTTTCTCTTGCCATTACTACAGTAATAAAACTAGCGGATCAATAAAAGAATGAGATAAGTGTGAACAAGTTTGCGGAAATCGACTGGACGAGAGTCATCATCATCATCATTATACACATCAGCTAGAGGTGGGAAAAACACCTCCGCTATTGTGCCGCAATACATGAAGGAAATACATACATACATACAATACAATACACAAAGGAGAAGTAGATACAACAGTTGCATGCCAGCTGAGCTACCAGCAACGGATAGGCATCGTTCCGGTAAGCTTCCAGCTAGCTACTAGGCAAAAAGAAAAAAATATTATGTTTTACCCTAGGAAATGAGATCGTAGATGGATGGGGAGGCTAAAAGGGATGGGAGGGACAAAGAAACTCCCAGCATGAACGCCACTGAGGTCGGCTCCTTGCCATGTCAGCAAGTGTATCCAGCCAAACGTGTTCACCGTCTTTTGGACCCCAACCAGGGAGCCGTGAAGCTCCAACCGAGGCTAGCTCCGAGGTGAGGGACTTCATTCCCCTGGACCAAGTCATCGCTTGGCCACCTCTCCTCTTCTTCCACCCACATCCCCGGTGAGCAAACAACGCACGTCGAGGGAGTCGGTGGGCTGGCATGCGTAACACGTGGCCGAGCCATCGGAGCCTGGTGCGGGAAATAACGGTGCTGAGCGGTTCAGATCCTTTTCCTGGGCCGTAAACAATGCGTCGAACACGCTCGTTACTCACGCGGTGTTCCCACCAGATGTGAGCCAAACTGCGAAGGCACCGATGGTCGAACGTAACTAGCGTCTTCATGTCCGCCGATCTTATGGGCCAGGTTTCGCAACCGTACAGTAAGGTCGAACGTACCGCTGCATTGTACACTCTACCCTTCAGGGCGAGAGTGATGTCGCGCCGCCGCCAAAGGTGGCGAAGGTTAGCAAAAGCACTTCGAGCTTTCGCTATACGGTACGTGATCTCGTCTTCGATCCCAAGGGCGCTGATACAACTTCCCAGGTAATTGAATTTCTGAACGACTTCTAGCTGATCCCCACCAAGGGTCATCGCAGGAGGCGATCCCTGCCAATCTTGGAGGAAAGCTTTGCATTTTGATGATGCAGAGCGAAGCCCGAAGCGGCTGACAGCCAGTGCTAATCTGTCTAGCGCGGCTTGGCACGTCTGGGAGCTGTCACAGATGAGGGCGATGTCGTCAGCATACTCCAAGTCAAGAAGTCGTTCTCCTGGGAGTAGCTCCACACCTTCCAAGTCATGTCCTGTAAATGCAAACTCCATGACTTCGTCAATAGCGAAGTTGAAGAGGAAAGGTGACAGCGGGCATCCTTGTCTTACACCGCTGGAGATATTAAAGGGTGGCGACAGCTTGCCGTAAGCCCTCACTCTGCCCGTGCTACCCGCGTATAATGTTCGGATAATATTTACATATTTCTCGGGCACACCTTTCCTGAGTAGACAATTCCAAAGGGCACATCGATCAACCGAATCGAAGGCATCTTTGATGTCGAGGAACACGACTACAGTGGGCCGCCAATGTGTGTGGTGGTGCTCCAACAACTGACGCAAAGTGAAGATGTGGTCAATGCAGCCACGACCACGACGAAACCCGGCTTGCTCTTCACGAATCTGGCTTTCACGAGCGTCAGTCAGTCTGTGAAGAATTATGGAGGCGAGTAATTTGGAGGCGATGGAGATCAGACTGATTCCTCTATGGTTGCCGCATTCCGAGCGCGAGCCGCCTTTG